TRGTGCATGTCTTTTATTCAACAGCTCAGTCACAGTAAATATTGCCATGTGAAGAGATCACTCGAACAGGTGCGTCAGGAACTGGACTCTACCTCCTGTGATACAAAGATACAAACACAAGTCATGGTTTCACTGTTTTACTTGAAGTTTTATGGTTCTATGCATAGTGTTGTCTAGATGCTATTGTGAAACTGTTCCAGGCAGATATTTTCCAAATCATGGGACTTAGTTTCTGATTAAGGACATTTTCATAAAGAAACTTCTACTGTAGTGTTGGTTTTGGTTCAGCTTTTAGAGCGAGTGAACACTGAAAACTTACATAAAAATGGCAAACCCTTTAGTCAGATCCTGTAAAAAAGGAATGCAAGGAAGAGACTAACTAGGAAGAGACTAACTAGGAAGAGACTAACTAGGAAGAGACTAACTAGGACAGCCAAGCTCAGCAAAGTAACATAAACAGCAGATTTTGTCAGGATTCCAAAAATTACTATTGAATGGCAATGCTTACTTTTATTAAATTGAATTAATACAACTTTGTTGATCCCTTTGCTGTATACAATTAAATRTTAAACATTAAAAGACTAAATTGTTTGGAACATACACCACAGAGCAAATCTTACTATAACCCTGATTGTATCCAGGGTAAAAGGTCACAGAGTCCAGCAAGGATTTTCTTTTTACAGAGAATTGCAATTCAAGATTGTCTGCAGGGGACTTTTACTCCCCATCACCTTTAGATGAGAAGATACTTGTATACGCAGCAAATAACMTTAATTTTGGATTTTGAGGCTATGGGAAGAAATATAGTATTTCTTGTTGTAARTGTTCAAAATATATTATGTGACTTCTTACAGTGGCATTTAAATAGTCTGATGATGGACGCCAGCATAAGAACATAATTATTTTCACTATTAATTAATACTGTACCATATTCATAGTATGTAATTCAATGTAAGTCCTGGCGCAATTATTACTTTAAAGGCAGAAGAAATGTTCCATAGCCTCAGCTTTATTCAGATTACACTGACTCTATGCCTTTTGCAGAATTTTTTCAGTGGTGGAAGTTGCAGCAAAATGCTCTAAGTCATTAGGCATGGAAAGTATTGKTTTTAAACTTGCATTCCCTACCTTTCCCAACAGAGACAATGAAATCAGTGTTTCAATTATAGGTCTTACACACTACTGGGCAACAAATCAACTTTCATTTGTTTACTCAAGGGTCAGTAGCATTTGTTTAGCTGTAAATTTAGATAGGCTGTTGACATTGTTGCCATTTGTTGCTCAATGATGTCTGACATGAAAAAATATTTAATGATTATACTCTTTCTCCAGCAGAGATTTATTACACAGGCAATTCACAACATTGTGGGAGCTCTTAAATTAGGGCTTWATGGGTGGCAGCGTGCAGTGTTAAGGAAAAAAGTCACTGTTCTCTGAACGAACTTTAATGGAAATGTCTTTGGTTTTTTATTCAGTGTAGAAATTATCATAACCATGAAGGATGACTGAGACATGTACAGAGAGAAAAGGGCTATGTAGACTGAAATTGCTACTCAGGCAGGGTATTGCTAATTTGCAGGGTAATGTGTCCTGCAGTCCTGGTCTCACAATTATTCAAATCAGCAACCAGTTCAGGGCATACCAGTGGGACACTTTCACCTGTAACTCCTCTTACCTTGTGATAGGATCCTTTGGGACTTTACRAATGGAATTATCTGGACTATTCTCAGCCTATAGAAGGAAAAGCATGTATATACAAAGACTTTGCATGAACAAACTTGCAGAAAAAATGTAGAAGTTTTTTAGATAGAAATGAATACTGGCCCAATACTATCAATATTTATTTAAACACAAGATCCTGGCGCTTAAGAATAACTGGAACAAACTGCATTTGTTTCAATGCTTATTTACTTATGCAAGACTAGGGGAATCTGCACTGTTCATGCCTCCTGTTAGCTGAAAGTGGTGTCARGAGTGTGACTGTTGAAGAACTGGCTCCACCGTGTGGGCTCTGGAAAATGACCATTACAAACGAAGSAAAAAGCAGCATCCTTCTCTTTAGTTTTCAACAAGGAGGTTTGCGTTGTCCATGGGATGAAGGTAGGATGAATGGGAGGAGCATCAGTTAAAAAAGAAAAAAAGAAACAATCCATTACAATTGGAAGAATTAAAAATCTTAGTCTAGTAAAGATCTGTTAGCTCCACCATAAAGGTGTGAGACAACTGGCCCATGGCCTTGCTGGTCTAGTGCATGAGGAGGCAGTTCTAATTCCAGGAAGGCGTTTCAAGTTCTTCAACAGTTTTCTGACAGATCTTCTGCAAGATATTAGTAACAGTAAAAGAGTGACAGTGTGCTGCTCAAATTTACCAAAGGCTTATTTTTTTTCCTAACACCTACTTCRTATTCTGCTTACTGATGGCATGACAGAACTGCAAAAGCACAAGTTAATGTCAACCTCTGACTTGAAAGAATTAGTGGCAGCACCAGTGAKGCTTACTTTAAGAATTCCCACTCAGGTAACTTTCTGTGTCCATGCTCCTGCTTGTGCTAAGTACAGGTGCAGTGCAGTGGTGACTGAAACCTTTCTTCTGCATACCTSATGTCATCATTGCTTCCAACCTTCCTGCTGGATATTCACATAGAGAGGCAGGATGCCATCTCCAGGGAGATCTTGTTAAATAGAGTTCTCAACAGAAGTGTTGCAATTTATTATGCCAATCTTTCTGTTTTTTGAAGCAGAGACAACTCCATATGTATGAAGTCTACTGCCCTACTCAATTTACCATCTCAGTGGTAATTTTCATTCTCATACATATATTCCTATTAATCCTTCCTCATTTGCACTCACTTTCTTCACAATCATCTTTATTGAAAGCCAGGTATTAATTTAGACTGAGGGCTTGTACCTTCATGAGTTTGCAATACAAACTGCACTTCTTTTCCATCCTGTTTCGCAGAAAAATTTCCATCTAGTGTGTTTTTTTCCCAAGTAATGGTCTGGTGGAAGGTTTCCCCACCATGGCATGGAGGTTGGATGAACTTTAAGGTCCCTTCCTACTTAGGCCTATGTTTTTTCATTTAGTGCATTGACATTCTTACAAGTATTGTGCTATCCAGTCCAAATACAGAAAGTTAAAATTTTCTGTAATAGCAATACTCTGTTGGTGTTTATCTTCCCAGTAATGTCACAAGTTCTCCATCTGTATTCAAATCTATTTGTGTGTTTTAATAAACACAGAACTCTACAGCTTTTCTGTCTTTCCCTCACAAATAACCCTGAATATGTTCATTTTATTGCACTTTTTTGAAAATCAACATGTGCAGCAGCTGTAAACTGAAAAGAAGATGCTTTAAAAAATATGTTTTTAAAATAAAACATGAGTGTGATTTGATCTCTAATTCATCATTGGTTGTAAATTACCTTTGGGGGAGTGAGGAATGTTATGAAAAATTCTGTTAAATTACTGGGCTTGGAAATAAATCCTGAATATGTGCTTTATGCTCCAATATTGACAAAGATAAATGCCAGACTGAGATGATATAAATGGTATTGAGATGAAAGGCAGACAAGGTGGAAATACACACTGTACAGCTGCTCCCTTTGCTGAGGTGTGGGAGAAAATGCCTCAGGAAGAAATAGATATTGTTCTATTTTGTTCAACTCTCTGACAATGTGCACGTTCTTCARCTCTTGGTTATTCAGCAGAAGAACATCTGCAAGGAGATTCCAGGAGAATTTTTCTCTGAGATACGGTAAAAAAAAAAATGTTCATTTTGTAGTAAAAATGCAGAATCATRGCTGTTTTTATACTGAGGGCCATACCAGGAGTTCACAGTTCAGTTATGAATTTACACATKACTGAAAAATTAGGACACCTGTTTCAATAATAAACAAAGCCTTATAACTATAGGAATAAGCTTTTAATTTTTTTTAGTAATTTCTCAGGTGTGGCAAACTGGGGAAGTTTAAGGATTTGYCAAAACCCAATAGGTGGTAACTAATTTGAATCACTTGACTACCCTGCTGTAACTAATTATACATTATAAGCACTAAATTCGTAAGGATTCAATGCCYCAGAATGATTAGGGTAATTTTTACTGGGTTTTTAATTTTTTCCTAAGGTACATGAGGCAGCAGGATTAGAATCCACATAACATATTCTCAATTTGTTACCAAGGTAATCAATGCTGAGCTACACTTTTCATCAAAGGAGGAAAGGTAATAGAACAAAATTGTGTGTGCTTTACTCTTCAGGGAAAAACAAAACTTAAAGCATATTTGCAGTGAGGCTGATGCTTTTGTGTAACAATAGTTTAAAGACAATGGAATCAGAGGAGATGCATGAGGGAACAATAGAAATTTCAGACTGTATTTTCCTTTTTGCAAACATACAAATCATGTGTTTTGGTGTCAGAACCCAAACAACTATTTCAGTAGCTCATAAATTTCTGCCTATTCTACCTGTCAAAAGCAGCAGAGGAAACATGCGAACAAAGCAAAAGTGCACTCAGGGTCTGATTTTCAGGCAACTATTCTTTAGCTGTGTGCTTCAAAAGTGTAAACTATTCAGGAATTTTCAGAATTCTGTGACATTTCAGCTAACTGATCTATGTGCTTCTTGCAAGAAAAGGAAATTCATATCCAAATTAGTGATACTCAAGATCAGATATGAATGCATGAACTTTGGGTAGATGCAAGAGAATGTTTGTGTGAAGGCAAGAAATGAACACTTTTTTTTTCTACCTGAAAACAGAGAATAAGTGATACTATATGATCTCATATTTCTGAGAATCTGTTTGACTGGATAAACAGAAACCTGGATGAGCTATTAAACTAAATTCCAACAGCTAAAAACTATCATGTCTGTCCTCTTGTATTACAAGTGTATGTATCAAAGCAAGAAGCAGCAAGGCTTTCTAGCAAGTTCTTGCCACTTTCAATCATCACTTATCATTAGAAATAAAAACAGCAATCAATTTCTTTTTAATGCAAGTCAATTTATTCGTTCTCTGAAGACATGAAAGCAGTTAGTTCAAGTGCAGGCAATTAATCTTGTTTTATTGCCCCAATAACAAGAGATTAAAACATCACACTCAATGGCTTTTAGGTAGAAAGATTCAAACTCTTGACTCAGTTACTTGTGTTTGAATTTTCTTATCACCAGGATCAACTGCATGTGGAAATGAGAAGAAATTTAACACATAAGACACAGTAAAGTAGAAAAAAATTGTTGCTTATGAGGTTTCTGTAGTAACATTTTTATGTGTTGAGAAGATGTACAGATTCAGGAGTTTAAAGAAGATCTAAGGGACTCCTAAAATCAATACCCTTGCAAGTGCTGCACTCATAATATCAAAAAATGTTCTTCTGACAAGATTAAGCCAGTAGTGAAACATTTGTAAACAGGATTCAATCAATACTTTAGCTTTACTCCCATGAACTAATTTTCTAAAAAGAAACTGCTTTATACTAAGCAAAATACACTCCTAATAAATKGAAATATAAACTTTCAATGGGAATTCAGCAGTTCTTAGAGTATTTTTTATTTAATAAAAAGGATCAAAATCTGCCATTAGTTTCATTTCTGAATTCTCACTGAATTGTGCTGGTAATAACAGCAGAATTTGTCCGGTGTTTCCCGTTCATTACTTTCCTGTTGGAGCACAATTTTTCTAGTAAAGGTGGAAGGTGAAATAGTTAAGGAGAACTGGAAAATGCCTATYCCAGCCATTTTCAACCCTTCTTTTTTCATACTTTGACATATCCCTTATAAATGTTGCTGTGAACATATTTGTGGCAACATCTCTAGAAGAACACCCACTGCTACCTACTGATGAGTTGCAGGAACACAGAGAGCCCAGAGGCTTCCTGTTCAGCAGGATTTACACACCTCCTTTGACCATCCAATCTCCTCTATGTCCAATAGTGAATAATCACCTGGGTGGTGCATATAACGTATCAGAYCTTTATTCACATGATCTGTATTTGAATTCAACCTAGCTGGTACCGAAATGATAAAGTTTACATGATGAAGAACAGAAGAAGTTGATGTAGAAGTTTCTGTCTGACAGTGATTCCTTGCTTGGATCATATGTGCGAGCTGATGTGTCCCCAGAAAGGAACAGAGACAGAGTTCCCTTATATTCTCCAGCTACAGAGTCAAATAAACAAACAGTTAGGTGACTTAGCCTGGATTTTCAGTAGTGGGAATGACAAATGACACATGAATCATCCACAAAGACCTTTTCCATATGCAAAAAAAATCCCTAATAGGTGAAACCATTAAGGTGTCAAAAATAAAARGCAGGCAGAGCATCAAAAATCCATCATTCTGGGAGATAACATAGTCAGAGCAACAGAAGAAAGGCACTTCTCCCTCAGCAATACTAAAGCTGCTATTCTAAATACAAGGCAATGTGGTACCAGCAGGGCTCTGTGCTGGATGGGTGAAGTAACAGCAGCAGTGAAAGAAGAAAAAGGTCAACAATGGCAGCAGCAGGATATGGCAAAGACAGCAAATGCTGAAATGACAGCAAAGCATCTTTACTTCTTCACACAGAAACTGAGTATGCCTGATTTTACCCTCAGAACACTGATCTAATCTTGCATAACTAAGAACAAGAGAGGGAAAGGAAAATCTGGTATTGTTAAAGGGTACTTATTCTTTGCATGTTTCCTCTGAGGGTGGGGTGTCTRAGCAAGACCACTGTGTAGAGAAAGGCATTTTGCTCCTGTTCATCTACTGTTACTTCTGCTTTCCTGAGCTACTGGTTCATTTTTCTGCCTTACTATATTTCCTTTGAAATTAAATTTAAATATTGAAACTGAGCCTATTTTTCTTACACGACCACAAGGCAGACAGGTAAGGCAGACAGGTAGTCATCAGTACTGAGGCGTTTGTGGTCAGTAATCATTATATCTCACATTGGCTTATTATGCTTAATATTTGCATTCAGTATTTTCCTGCTCTTCAAACACAGATTCACTTTCATCACTCAGAATTTCAAGCTGAGAAACAGAGACCTGGATCCAGAGGAAAAGCAGTAGACAGCAAAAACTAACTACACTTTGGGATGCAGGGGTTTTCTCACTCAGGCTCAGCAGAGACTGAGATTTCATCGAGATTTGAGATTTCACTTGAATGAGGCTTTCACTATCCTGCCCTTCAGAGGCTGAGGTGGGCGCCAGTTGTCAACAAGAGGGGCCTCAGGTTCATTCTCACTGTTCTTGGAAAGGCTACGGAGCTTTGCCATCTGCAAGGAAGAAAAATTCAAGTGTCCATGTGGAAGCAATGTGGACCTTCCTGCCTGGAACAAGCTCGGAGATGAAAAAATATAATGACAAGCACACAATGACAATGACAATGACAATCTTTAACAATATTGGTAGAGATTACTGATAAATAAATAAATACTGATCACTGCAGCCCAGCAGCTAGCACTGTTTCTGTGGATTTCACACTCTTCATCCACAAAACACTGCATAATCTGACCCTTGCCTGGGCTTATTTGGATTTTTCTCTGATCCACTCTCACAGTGTGGAGAAAGAATAGCGCCTTACTATGACCCTGCTGGAGCTGGACTGCAGGCAGATAACTGGAGAAAATACAGCTGCCTATGAAGGRGGATGCACATCTACATCTGTGCAAGGCAGTCTGATAGAAAAAGCTGGTCCAGATGTTTGTATTTTGTTCTGTAAGGCAGAGATGGGCCAACTGGATTATTGAGTTGAATCATTAATTCAGCACTCAGCTGTTCTTCAAATTAACTTAATTTCAGTGTTGCTTTGTTAATTGTTACCCTTTCATCTGAATACAAAATGAATCTATTCTGAAAACAGCCATTTAAGTAAAAAGGATATACCCTAACTGAGGTAAAGGATTGCTATAAGGATTGCTGAAGCAGAAATATAAATATCCCAAATTTTTGACACAAGAACTAAAAAAGTCACATTACCCAGACTGGCTCTTTTATTTCTTCTCCTTTTTTTTTTTTTTTCTCTGTAAATGCACATTTGTGCTATGTGAATACAAGTAGTGCATTAATTTGTACAAACATTCAGGTTTGCAGGTTCAGGGTAATTTGATCCTTCTCACTGACAGCTTTTAAGAAATCTAGACCAGCAATTTCTTAAACAGGCAAACCAGCAAAATATTATTCTCACTTGCCACTTAATGTTGAAACTCAAAGAATGAACTGAGGCTGCTGTGGCAGCTGAATTTGGTAGCTCGGGGGCACTTCTGCCTTAGCAGGTTTTCAGGATCCCAGGARCACCCCAGCTGTTCAAGAAGCCTTGCAAGAGGCGGTGATTCCCAGGGTCAATTTTACAGCCCATTTCAACAGCCCAGTCCATTCTACRGGCAATTTCTCACTGTCCACAGCTTTCCCTACCAAAAGGTCAGGGTAACACAGGGCTTGTGAGCCATCACACTGACACACTGAGCCACTGCTGGGAGCTGTCACAGGAGTAGCAGAATTGACTGGATTTACCTGGTCTGAGCTGACTTCAATCGGCTCCCTCAGGAGAATCCAAGTGATGCATTCCTCACAGGGGGGTGTGGTGAACGAACCGTGGTAAGTCCAGTAGTCCCGAGATTTGGGGAAAAGAATTGAAGGATCAAAGTGCTGAAAAGGAGCCTCTTTGCCCTTAGGGAAACAAAAAAAAATTCTGCAGAGAAAATTTTCTCTAGAAAATATCTAGAGATATGYATCTTAAAAGACATCAGTATCTATGTTATTATAAAGGAAGTAATTAAATACCAAGATTCATGCAAGAAATCAATCTCCTTTTMTTCCTGTCAAGCACTTTCCCAGCAATTAATAATAACTGACATTTTGATTACATTAATAAATTAAAAGAAATTACAAACTGAATTGTGTGGGATCAATGCAAATTCATTTTTAACTTTTTCTGTTCTGGAATTATCAAAATTGTGTTTTATTTTGGGGCGCTTGGGATATGAGTTAAAGCCTGTGGCATTGCTGTTTTATCTAACTCTTTTTATCTAACAGAACAGTGACCACACATTTATCCCAGCTTCATTACAGTCTTCTATCTGAAGGAATTTAAATCTGCACCTCTCTCCTTGCAAAACTGTGCTCTAATTATACATGACGACACTCTCAGTCTTTTTAATGACATTATTACACTCAGTGTAAAAAATAAAAGTATTTCCTGTAGGAGTACTGGATCTTAAATATCTTGCAATGAAAGATGATAATCACCAGAAAAGGGGGAAAGCAGACACCAGACAACATTTCCTGATAAAGCCTGCCACCAAATAGGATAGCATCTCCATAGGACTGTGATGAGCATTTCTTGTTCCCTCTGGGCAACAAAAACTAACCAAGGAAATTCATTTCAATTCTCTATTGGTATTTTGGATGCAGTTCTGGAAAGCAAGATATATTATTCCTATTTCCTTCTTCTATCATGGAGAATCTTCTCTAGATTAGAACAAAATGAGTGGCAGGAGCTGAAATCGTTTCCATGCATCCTTGCACAAGTTAAGAGTAGAAAGAGAAATATCATGACTCCAATTACATCTTTCTGAAAATATTATTCTGAAAATTCAGTATGAGTTTGCAAATAACTTCAAAAAATTATGCTTTTCCAGTAAATACAGTACAGTGTCTAAGAAACTCCTCTGCCTGTAATGCATCAGAGCAATTGAAACTGCATATATGAAATACATGAGTGGTACCACCCATCATTCATTCCAAAAAGTAAGTAATCTTGGAAAAATGCATGTGATGACAGAAAAGGAAGTAAGAGATAAAATACAATGTGTGGTTCTTTCCACATCCACTTATCTTCCTCTGCTTTACCTCAACTTTGCTTTTTCCAGAACTGCTACGTGTGAAAGGCCAGAAAATGATACAGGCATTATGAGAGAAAGCCATCAGAACAGATAGCATTGACACAGCCAGGGGAGCCATGGATGGGGTGAAACAAACAACCTTCAGTTCCCTCAGCAGAAAGAACTTAATTAAACTGAGCTGAAATAATAAAATGAATATGACTCTTACTAAGGGGAAAAGAGCTTTCAGGCTCCAACCTGCACATCAATGGCAGGACAGACACAGGAATGTACATACTGTACATTACATGCAAGGAATCCTGCTAAATTTGCAAGRAAATGCCTGCAAATTTGGTGATCTGATGGCATGTTTAATGTGAAATATAAAAAGGGACTTGCAGCATTATTGGAATAAAAAGGTTTATCATGAAGTAGAATTGCTRAAGTATACCTAGAGATTAATTTTATATTAAATAATAATGCTAAATAACAAGAGATGCACTATTGCAATTCTCTGCAAATAACTCTCTTCAGCGGCTGTAGCTATACAATAGGCATAGACTGGTCCCTTAGATAATTCATTAAATAGAAAAACGGTTTAGAATATATTTGCAGTGCTATTTGTGCTAGTATCATAGGAAGAGACAACTTAGCACTGGTGCAGAAACTGAACCATGTAATCCCTTTCATAAATAAATACAGTTCTTCTTAAAACTAGTAACATTTTTAACCTCTCTTACACTGACTGGGAGCCTGCTCCATCATTCCTACTAGTTTCTTCTCATTTTAGGCTAACTAAATTTCTGACTCTGCTATGTGCATTTGTTTTGTCAACTGTTGTCCTCAAATTTCATTTCTCCTTGGTATTGGCACATATTTTTTTACAGAGCAGTACAAACAAGACTATCAATTTTATATGCAAGGTTTGATTAAAAAATCCTCTTCAACCATAACACTTGCAGATGTGAGGAGTTAAATATTTAATTAAGCAAAAGAAAGTATCCAACTTCCCAGTCCAATGTATCATCTCTGGTAATACTGTTTGGCATCAAAATTATGCCAAAATATAAATCTGAACTACTTCTTCCTGCTTCTGCAGCTTTCCAGCTGCCTTAWATCACAAAAATTGTTTTGATACCTTGGTCTTAATGTTTTCAATTTCTTCAAGAATTCTCTTCATCTCTGGTTTGGGAGTTTTTCCAACCTGTAACACAAAGCACAAATAACTGTATATATCTCATCATGTTCCACAGCATTTGAAAGAAATTCAGCATATCCCATCTGTCACAATAGGCAACAGCAGTCTCAGAGAATCCAGCAGAGACTGACAGAAGATGATGTGTGTTAAAATAACATCCAGAATAGCAGACTCCAGTACTGGCTTTGTAATTGGAACTTGTGCTGAAGGACCCTACAAGGCACCACGACTGTCTGAGGAATGAACTGCTCACTCAGTGTCACCACCCAAAGCCTGAGCCTTGGCTCCTGCTTCAAAAGTGACCTATGGCCCCTGTGAGATGTCTGAGCAYTTGGCAATGTCTGATGGCTTGAAGGGCTGTAGTTGCTGCAGAGGCTTCATTCTGCAGCACATATCAGACTTGATGTAAGACAGGTGATGAATTCATGTCTTGGTGACCTCAAGCTACGGGGTCACTTTATCGCTTGTGTTCATGACATTTAGCACTTCCAAAAGCTTTGACATGGCTCTGCATCCCCACAGAATAAAGGCAGTATGCATAAGATGTACTGTAGCTGCCGTGTTTTGTTCCAAAACAGATTAACTTCAATTCCTCTTTCAGCAGTATCCCAAAACCCAGTAATGGCACATGACAAAATCAGAGAAAAACAACARTTTCTTCACTAAAGAGCAAGATGGAAACAGTGAAAAGGGACAGAGAAGATACAGTGACACTATTTACTTTTCTGGACCTTTTAGCTGACCTTAGCATGGTTAATAGGAACATAGTCATGTGCTTTGTAAATTGTGTTTTACAACATAAAACTTTAGCCTAAAATAGACCAAAAGGAATGACAAAGGAAGCATAACTGAAGGATATAGTCATAGGGGAGAATCTGGACAGGTGCTGAATTTCAGTTTAAACTAACCACAAGAGAAAAGGTCAGGTTGGCTCAGTGTAATAGAATTAAAACAACCCTGGATCTACTCTGTCCAGGGACACCACAGCAAAATTAATTACATCCACTTGCTCTAGCTTGTACAAATGCCACTTACTGGTGATAAAACAATAAAAGGATACTTCTTCCCTGATGGTGTGTTCAAGCTGAAATGCCCACCTGCAGCTAAAAGSACTGCAGTTTGTGTAATTTATCACTATTAGGCTGTGTGCCTGCTAGTATTTCTCAATGTTCTAGACCACATACGGATTTGATATTAGGATTGTTTTAAGTTCATTTAAAAAATCAATCAAAATACTGCACAGTATTATTTTGTTTAAAAGTTTCTGTATTTCAAGGTTAGAATATCGAGTGATCTTTTACCATCAATTCTTTTTAGAGCAGGTTCATTGAAATCATTTTGACTCCCAGCTTGTGTGGGAATCAACAAGAGACCAGAGAAGGGAATCAGTCAAGATAACCTTGCTGACAGGCAGATGCAACACCTGCTAGCAGACAAAAGGCAAGAGGAAACACTCAGCCTATGCAGAYCCCACTGCTCACCCAGTGCACACCACMGCAAAGGGCTGCAGTGCAGGAAAAWACAATGGTAACTTCYCCTGGCATTAGAGAAAGATGAAAAMYACAGAAAATTATAAAGATTGAATATTTGCCACTTACTTTCAGAAAAATTCCCACAACAGCTACACCATCAGGTTGTTTCAAAGCTCCRGCAAAATTACCGTGTTTTGGATTCCAGTGCACCATATGCAACTGAAAATCAATTAAACTTCAGTTATAAATACCACAAGTTGCCAACAGTACAATCTTTAATTAAATTAAGAGAATGTTCCAGTACACAGTAAGTAAAGGAATGGACACGAAAAAGAAACTGTAAGTAAGTATTTCTTATTGCTGTTCCCATGCTTTTATTTGCTCACACTTTCCATAAAGCATTGCTTTGTATTTAATTGAAGCACAGGACAAAGAAAATGGAGTTTACCACACAATGTCAGACAATGCAACTATAAATAGTTTAATCCAAGCACATGACATGCACACATGCAGTGCATAAAACACCTACTGRCATGCACTTCATCTCAAGTACAATTTTAGATCTTCAGGTTATGCAGGTGCCAGCTCAAGGATTTACACTGGGTTGTGTGTAGTGCATACATTACTGGTTTGTATCTCTTACTACTCTCAGCACATTGGGCTGGATGGGAGTGGGGATATAATCTGACTTTTCTTTCTCATATCTACTTTCAACAATGATGTATTTTCAGGTTATATTTCAAATTTTTGCATCTCTGTCCAGAAAATCCCTAGCTTGTGTACATAGCTATACATGCTGCAACCAGCAGTGCAATCTCAGATTAAGTAACATCTGGAACACAGTCACACAGGGGAAAGAAGTTTTTTTAAAAGTTTATTTAATTTTTTTTTTAATTCCTGAATATAAATTATTCCATTGTTCTCTGTTTCTTTTCTCTTGAGGATAAGGATTTTATTGCTAAAGTTGGAGCAACTATATACCTTTGGTTGAAATGTAGCAAAATACATATATTCCAGGCTTTCTTCTCCTGTCAATAAATACATAAGCACTGCTAACCAAAGTAACATAAAAAGTCTGTGCTTGAACTAGCCAAGAAATAGTTTGAGGAAGCAGATTTTTTTTCTCTTTAGTTGGCCACAGAAAGCAGAGCACTAGCAAAGATTGTCTGTGGTTAAGGAACGGGGAAAAAATTCCTAAGCCATCACACATGGTCATCTCTGCAATGTATGTGAACATTGAGCCTGAAAATACCTGCCTCTGTTTTTTGTCCTGTGATGAGTGGGCAAAGCTCCTCTAAGCTCTGGGCCTTGAGAGTATTGGTGGAAGGCAGGAAAACACTACTGTGGGATTTTKGGGGGCATAGGTTTGTATTTTGAGCCTATTCTCAAATAAGATGGAGRTAGGAGGTAATATTTGCGAGCAAATCTACAAAGTCAGTAGTTAATTCACATGTATTTAGGACCTGAAGAAGTTTTCAGGGCCTAAAGCACKCAACTTTAGCAAACTTGGACAACAGTCCTGCAGTAGTTTACATTTTAAAAAGAAACAAACAAAACCCAAACATCTATTTTCCACGGTTCCTGAAAATAAATGCAGCTATTTCAAAACAGTGATGTTCAGAAACTAAAACATACTCTGAGTAAGTTTTAAAATGCATCTAATTTTGAATGTCAGCTTATCAAATGTGCTTTTAACGAGTTTTTCTATTCTTCTGAAACGAACATGGTAACTGAAGCTATACCAGAAATGATAAAAGCTAAAAAACACCAGCAGCTCTTCCTGTTTGGAAGTAACAGATTGCTTGGTCGCAAATATTTTTAAAACATTCTGAGATACCAGCAAAAACTCCGGCTTGAAGAAAAGAAATCTGTGTTAGTAAGTACTTGCAGGGATACATTTGCTGGCAGATGCAATTTATCCCACTTCATGTTAACCAATATTCGCAAGTTTCACAAGCGGAGAAAAATCAACAGAGGGAGAACGGTTAATGTGTTCAGATGCAAAATCAGGTTGCAGTCGGCCCTGAATGCCGCTGTTAACCATCCGTCCTACCTCCGCCGCGTATCTGACGCCGTCGATGACATGCTCGGAGCCGTGCTCGTCGCGGGAGCCCCAGTGCAGGTGCAGCTGGCGCAGGCGGTACGCGCCKGAGAGCGGGCCCCCTCGGAGCACTGCGGGGACAGGGCATCAGCACTGCCATGGGACACACACCCACCTTCATCCCACCCAGAACAGCTCCTCTCCTAAAGACACTCATGGCCAGGGACACACAGCACCCGCCCGTCTGCATTGCTGGGGCTAAATCCTGTTACCAGCTCTGYTTGATGTGTGGGAGCTGCTGTGAGTCAAGCACAGAATCAAACCCCAGCTGCCCAAGCCCCTTTCCTCCTGGCAAGTGGACACACTACAGTTCCTGGTATGGAGAGAAGGGAGGCCTTCACATGTAGTTCTTGGGTCTGTTTTAAAAAAACTGGAGTAAAATTAACTGTTAAATTAAKCCAAGGTGCTTCAAAAAGTACATCGAGTCCATGACTGGCATACCTTTTAYAGGTCAGACAACTAAACAGTGATTACAGATAAGTAACTGCTTCTTAAAAAAACCGCAAATTTTAAAAAAATCTGCTTCTTGAAACTGAGAGAAAACAATAAAGTTTAGGTCAAATGAGTTAGAAAATTGTTTTTGAGCCACCAATGAAATAAATTAAGAAGCTGTTACCTCTGCTGTGTCTAGCCAAATAATGCTGACYATGCATCAGTCCGGCAGCTGACATCAACTCTGACTTTCAAAACATCACACCTGCTCTTTCAGCCTGGAGATTCTTTTGAGCGGGGACTGCTTAAAGGATAAGCTCTCAAATGTATTTTTCATTCATTACCTAAGGTTGGAATGAGTCGTGTTTCCTTACACAGAAAGCTGATAATGTAGTTCACAACTGCAGTGCCAGAAGACCTTGTTTAAATAGCATTCAAGCTTGAACTTCTACCAATAGCTTTGAAGTTCAAAGTTAACATTGAAATAATAAATCCTCTTTTGCCCAATGGTYTCAAATGAATTCTTGATATCATATGTATTGGAATACCTACACAGAGAAAGAGGTTTAACTTTRGAGTTTCTCTTTTTAGTTGGTAGGTGTCACAACCATCAAGGGGTGGGCCAGGAAAAAAACTCACTATTGAGATTTATGCATCTATGTTCTCTTACTTTTTTACTTTATTCACACATAAATAATTGAAACCCAGTATAATATTGAGCAATATTGACTTATCCTTCTGTAGAAGTTTCCAATGGAAAATTATTATTATTATTATTATTATTATTATTATTATTATTATTATTATTATTATTATTATTCTTTCAAATATAGGACAGAAAAGGCATAGACTCTAAGGCCCAACTCTTTAAAATATCTGCTTGCCATTTCGTGCTGGAATAAATGGGAGCCAGGGACTTGCAGGAGCTGACTTCATGTGATCTACCTATATTTACAAGCAAAATTAGTGTCAGAGACTGTGACTCTACCACTCATTTCTTACAGGTGGCCCTTTCCAGAGCTCAAAGCACGTGAAGCACTTGGAATCAGCACTTCATAACAGTATACAAATCTCTTTAACACAAAACCAAATCTTTTAAAGTTTCAAAATTTTCCATGTGATCAGAAAAAAAAAAAAGCCTGTCTTCAATTATATTTCTTTTTACAATTAAGATGGGATCTGTGACTACTACTCAACCCCATCTCTTATCACTGCAGAAGCCAAAAAATGAAGGTGATAAAATGTCTACGAAATTTTTTTTCATGTGGTCTTTCAGAGCTGACAAACATTGTATCTGATTCTGAGCAGACTTATGCCTATGAAACACTTGAGTGGGAAATTACTGTCCAGGAGCCTGCAGAAAGCAAGGGCAGCCAGGAGTGAATGTACACAATGGATGGCCAAAGAAACAACAGAGATGATGGGGAGAGGAGAGACAGTGAGGGAATGATGATTTAGAGGAGGGGCTGCACCAAGGGCTGTATTTTGCTTGGCCAAACTGTTTCTCCAGTTGGCCAAAGTGTTTCTCCAACACTGTTCCCTGGGCAGACAGCTTCTTGAGCAGCCTGTTTAAAACATTTCAGCCTTTAAAAAGCTGTAAAGAAGACAGAACAGAACCACCACGTGCAAATGTTCATAACCAATTTACTTCCCATGCTTTCAGTTGTGGCACTGATTTTGTGTAATGCTTGTGGAAGAGCATTCTGGTGTTTAAATGGGATCTCTTACAAGGGCAGGTAGTGACAAGGCAAGGGAGAACATCTCCAAACTGAAAGAGAGTATGGATACATTCGATATTAGGAGCAATTTTTTTACTGTGAGGTTGGGAAGGCACTGGAACAGGCTGCCTGGAGAAGCTGTGGATGCTCCATCCCTGGAAGTGTTCAAGGCCAGGCTGTGTACAGCTTTAGTWAYCTGGTCTAGTGAAAGGTGGTGATGTGGGTGTGGTTGGAACTAGATGATCTTTAAGGTCGCTTCCAATCCAGACCATTTTGTGTTTCTGTGGTAGGAAAAGTGATTTATATTCTGTTGAGACCACTATGTAAAAACTGGGGTAATAAATACAAAAGGACCATACAAATACATAACTTAGAGACACTTCTGCTCCTAAATAATTCAGATTCCATGGAACAATAACAAGTAGCTGCACTAGTAAATAAAGAAATCCAAGGGAACAGAGGGCTCGTCAAAACAAACTAGCAAAGAGGTGATCTTTCAATGTGCAATGGATATATTTAATGAATTATATAGCTTACTAAAGACAAAATCCCAATACCAATGATCATCAAAGCAGATGCAAAAAAATAAAAAAGGAAAGTAACTGTTTTCCATTAGATTATCTCCTGTCTTGATAAAGGACYAATCAATACTGCATGCTCTTGAGATGTCTTTGCTGTACTGTGAATTTTTCATTTTTACAGTTGTTACCTGTAAACATCCAGAGCTACACAGATACAGCTCTGCAATCAAGTTTTGAACAATTTAATTTATAGATATGACTGCTTGCTCTCAATTAAATAGCAAAGCCATTTCTTAGCTTTCCAGAAACTATAAAAAGGTGCTTTCATAGCTTTTTCAGGCTGTGGAATACCTGAAGAATTACCACGCAGAAGAAATCAAGATCACAGTGAGTAGAGGTGTATATACAGGGGTTTAGTTTACAAAGTGCCTCGGAGCGCTCTAAACCCCTCTGGGCACTGGTCTCTTCCCTTACACAAAACCTGAAGATGTGGTGGTGTCTTTGATGAAGGAAGGATATGATGACATAGGGAAAAGTYCACCATCCAGCTGAGTCTGTGTTTTAGGGGTGCCCCTGCCTTTCGGTCCAACCTCAGATCCAGCAGAATAAACTTCAGGAGCGCCTTTTTTATGTTCCCAAGTGACTTTTGTCTGCTGGGCTGGGTGCTAAAGGATGCTTTTTGATACCTGGAGCTTTGCAAGCATTGATGCCTAACAACCCCCGCAAAAAGCCAAACCAGAAACCGACCTGATCGATCRAAAGTGTCGTCGAAGACGACGCGGCAGGTGCGCCCGTTGTTCAGGATGGTTTTGGCTGCCCCGGGGTCATAGCTGGCGTGCCAGGCGGCGAGAGAGGAGTCGTGCTGCACGTCCTTGCTGTTGATCTCAACGGGAGACTGCTTGTCGCCCTTGGCCAGGGGGTAATTTTCGTGCCAGCGCTCGGGTCCTGAGGGACAAAGACAAGCAAACGTCGCCCCAGCTGCGCCGGGCTGATGCCGGCCCCGCCCGGTGGCCCCGAGCCCGCTCACCGTTGTCGCTGTCGTAGCCCCACACGGACTGGGCCATGGTGCCGCTGCCCGCGCCCCGTCCCGCCGTGATCCCCTCCCGCCGGCCCGGGGGGCTTTTTATAGAGAACCGCGGCTTGGCGTCCTCCTGGCAGGGCTGGGCTGGGCTGGGCTGGGCTGGGCTGGGCTGGGTAAGGCTGGGCTGGACAGGGCTGGGCAGGGCTGGGGGCGGCGGCCGGGCAGAGCCGGGCTCTCCCCCGGGGCTGGAAAAGCCGTGCCATCCCCCGGAGCGGGCAGAGCCGTGTTCTCCCCGGATCGGGCAGAGCTGTGCTCTCTCCCGGGGCTGGCACAGCCGTGCTTTCCCCCGGGAGGGCAGAGCTGTGCTCTCTCCCGGGGCTGGCACAGCCGTGCTTTCCCCCGGGAGGGCAGAGCTGTGCTCTCTCCCGGGGCTGGCACAGCCGTGCCGGCGGGACCCGCGGCTCTGTCCGTGCCCGTCTCGCCCGCTCGGCTCATCCCGGGCACGGAGGGTCCGACGGTGCTGCGGGAGTGGAGGGATCGCCCCGCAGCACACAGGTCTCATCCTCCCGGGATTCTGGACGAGCTCCTGAGCGGGCAGGTTTCCCCACTCCCACTTCCCGATGTCACAAATGCTCCCATGCAACAGCTCAGGAAGGCCGTATGTCTGCATGAAAGGATGTTTCAGCCTGCAAAACCCTTGAGCAAAGGGAGACTCGGCCAGCCCCAAAGGAGGCCATTCCTGAGTGTTGGCTCAAATCCGGGTTTGATGTTGCCCAGGCAGGTCTCCTTCAKGCAGGCAGCTTTACACGAAATTTATTTCTCATGTTAGGCAACTTAGCAGTGGGTATTTCTGTCAGGAAAGCATTTGGTTTTCAGATGATGGGGAGTTAGCGACAGTACTGTTGCATTTGTTGGCTTTATCTGCACATCTCTGTGGAATACTCAGAGCTTTTGTATCACATGCCAGCTTCACTGCTATCTCCCATAGCTTTGTCTGCCCATGCTAGCACGCTAACACTGCTGCAACTCTGCCTTACTACCTCTAACTACATAACTCAAACCAAATAAATGTTTGGGAGTCAGTCAAGAAGTTTCACAAACCGTGGAGATTTCCAGCACAGTTGCAGCAAACTTACTCAAATGCTCCTTGTACCCATTAGCACTGTAATGCAGCATGGAAATAAACCTGCAGCTTTGAGAGGTTCCACCCCTTGTGTGGATGAGGTACAGGGAGAAGGTTGAGAAGCTGCATATACAGTCTAGGATTAATTTGGTCCCGTTTGGTGTCCCAAAACCAGATAAAGGTTTCCCTTCTAGGTGGCCTGTGTAGTTAGGCCTATAAAGATCTAGATACAGAGTTTGTCTAGAGTAACTGAAATTACTTTATTAAACTTGTTTAGTAAATTCCTATTGCTCTGAGTTTAATCATAAGTTGACATCCCAAATCCTTTGTGACAAAGATGGGACACGACCTCTCACTTAGGAATCTGCATTTSAGAAAATCTCTGTTGTGATGTAGATAGTATTTTTACATAGAGAAGATACATCAAATTGAAACTCAATAAACCTTAACAACTTACACAGTATTGTAAGAGACATCCTTTTACTATCTTTAAAGGAATAGAGATAGGTTCATCATCAAATTGTCCTTCAAAAAATTTAGTTCCTTACGTCTTCTTTAGGCAGAATTCAATCTAGAAAATACTAGGAGGTGAATTAGATACAACGGTATGAAAAATTACATCTTCACTTTCAAAAGAGAATTCGGAGACAAAAGAAAAGCTTTTTYATTCCGTCATCAATCAAATGGATAATGTCACATTTGTTGCAAGAGCAGGCATGTAAAATTGGCACCTGTTACAATTTTAATTCAAAAAGCTTAGACATTAATCCTTYTGAATTGGTTTCGACCTTATCTGTSTGGAGATAAACATTTGTGAGATCATGAAATTCTATTGGAGCAGCTCATTTTCTGTGTAAACAAACAGCTTTAGTGGCCTTGTTCATGGAAGTCTCTGAGAGACTTTTAATCAACTTCATACATACAAAAAAAAAGCTTATTGGAGCCATTTGTGGAGGTAAGGAACATGGTTTGTATTACACAGAAAAACKTGCAAGTCAGTTCTAGTATTTAAATTCATTGCTCCATGTGAGAATTGTATAATCTCTATTAAAGAGCCCCATCCAACMGCAAAGTCTTCATATTTTAATTTCCAGTGAGCTGGTCCTGTTGCACACAGAGGAGCACCGTTTTGTCAGCTTCTGCCTATTGTGGCTTCCAAGCAGTGACTTACACACAAGTGACAAAAGTGGGTACTTGGASCCAGCCCCAGGCACTGAGTCATCCCAGTGCCTCACTGACTGCTTTCTTTTCCTGTTGCTTTCCTCATCAAAGGCAGAGCAAAAAGCAAATGTAGTACATCCACATTAAAAGATAATCAGAATAATGTTATTTTTGCATTCCTTTATCCTTTTCTTCTGATATTGGCTCAGAAATTCATTATCATCTAACTTGTACAACATTGCTTTTTCTAGGAAGTAAATACTCCTGTAATGRAAATGCCATTATAATTAAGAAAAGGTCACAGCTTCAAACATTTAAGAGGAGCGGTGTTACCTACTGCATTCAGAACTTTATTACASTGATTTCTTTCTGTTTTGTACACCTCGGACATGTTTGAAAAGCCATCAGCCATCTGAAATATCAAAGGCAAGAGCATAACAAGATCAGTCTACATCATTCACAAAAAGGTTCAGGATTTCAGTAATTGCAGACATGCTTTTGTCCAAAACTGGCACTCAGTCACACAATCACAGTTGGGCACAACTGTTTAGTCACAACAGTTTATTCAGCCGATGACAACAGTTTATTCAAAAGATTATCAAAATAAATAAAACATGGTAGTCCTGTTGGATACCTAACACATAAGGTSCTCTTCATCCAAAAGAGGGGTTTGTACATTTGTCACCTAAATGAAAGATGGAAACAAAGGCACCAGTACTAAATAACAAGCTGTAGCTATGGAACACTGTCTCAYGGATGTGCAGGTCAGATGCTGCATTGACTTCTGCTAAACAAGCAAAAACGTGATCATGCTCACCTCACTTGGTAGCAAAAATACCTTACCTGAAGTCACAGGGAGTTTCTTTTTTTGAGAATGGAAAGCAAGAATAAGAAGAGTCTGGAAAATGGCTCAGAGCCAGGGCTTTAGCCAGAGGACACAAAACACGTGCAAGAGAATGATGCGTGGAAAAGAGACTGGCAGCAGTTTTGAACTCTGCCAGGCATGACTGACTTGGCCAACACCTTGAAATAACTAGAAAAGCCAAAATACTGCTTCAGCTCAGCATGCTGATTTCCAGCTGACTCCAGGAGCCAGCATGACTGCTAGGAATGGCTGACAGTGAGGGGACACATAGAGGTAAATATGCCAGCAGGATGTAATTCAAGAATGCCTCTCCTCAAAGCAGAGTTTTCCAGGTTCACCATGCTCAGGGATATTTCCCATGGGTGATTTAATGCAAAGGGCACAGAGTGTGCCCACACTGAGCACCGTGTTAACTGAGCAAAAGTCTTTACTCTGTGCCTGTGGTCCATCTAAATATAAAATTTTTCTACTATATTTAATAGCTTGTGGAAGAAAATATTACGACAGAAAGGAATCTGATAATACACAGTATGGAAGGGGCAGCAGTGGTTTTTGACATATTCCACATTGCATGCCAGGCAGTGCAAGAAAGGCATGTCACTCAGTGCATTTGATTGAGGGATGCCATGGTGGCATGCCATAGCCAAAAAGCCAAATTGTCATATGCCTTCACTGAGATGCCATGCTATGGAAAACATTGTGGGAATGAATGGAAACCCCCACTGACAGCCAGATCTTATGGGAAGATCTGCCAAAGGAAAATAAGAAGCATATTGGGTTGATTTTGTTGTTTTTATGCACACAGAGTTTTTTAGCTGCATTTATGCCTCTATTAGTGTAGCGAATATAGAAAAGTATTTGGCAGACTTTGAACACATCTTTTCAGTTCAGAAGGTGCAACTCAGCAGTTTGCAGTTTAGACTCTAGGATCTTGCTTAAAAAATCCTTTCATTCTCCCATTGTGGCTCAGAACCTACATTATCACTTGCAAAACTTAATATTTTGTCTGTGAGATGCAATTAACATGGAAACAATAACCCAGGCTTTAGATTTAGCCAAAGGAACAAAAAGGCAAACAAGCTTTCCTTGCAGCAGTCTGCTAAAATCAGCATAGATCTGAAGGACTAGTACTAGCATTAAAAAAAAGTAAATTTAATATTTATCACATTTAGATCTGATGCAACAAAAATACACTGCCTATTTCAGACACCTCTTCCAGACCTGAAAAATTAAACAGATAAACTCTGCAGGAATATGACTCTCCTCTTTATTCCCATAGGGCTTTGCTTGTATGGCACTCACACTGAAATCCAAATTGGAGCTGGGCTTTTATGCACACTGGCACAGTCTGACTTGATATAATCCAAGTACAAGAATTTGACCTGTACTGTTTACTTTTATAAGGTCTGTGTGTGCCTGTGTGGAAATTCCAGCAGACTGGCAACTCTTGTGTATTGAGGTAGAGTTTTATGTATGACCTTTATCTTCTGTGATACTTAGGCAGCAGTGCCTATTTGGGAACAGTCCTAACCAGGCCCCAGAAATGCTAACATGGCTGGAGGACTTCATAAGAGTTCTATAAGAGGCATCTCGATGAAATACATCATATAATTAATGATGAAGCTAGTCATAAATGCCTCTGGCACATTTTCCAATGAGATACATACCCCTAAAGAAAATTTTATAAGAAAATCATGTGTTGAAATATGGTCTCTGAAGGCAGAAGAGTTCTCATGTCAGAGGCATTTTCCAGAAATCCCTTGAGATGCGTGTTTCCCARAATTATAAGAAAAAATCACTCCTTCTGAATCCATACCATTTGTGCACTTTGAAAGGTCAGAGCATGACATCCCATTTCTATCCATATCTGTGCTTCACTTCAATGGAATAAAAATTTCACTCTGAGACCACAAAGCA